GGGGTATCAACTTGGATACCAACATCTGAAAGACCTAATAGATCTAATAGTATTACATTTGGGCCTTCATATGGGTGCTATCCAAAATTACTTCATGACAGAATGACCTCTCCCACGGAAATCCCAAATTCCCTTCGCCAACACCATCGCCAGCCCACTTGCAGACTGCTACTATCTCTTCTTTGCCAAGTAGGTTGACCAAAGTGGAGGCTTCAGGAGGCCGATGAATGTGTCCCCTTCGTTAAGTCACAAAGTTCTGAGCCGACCCCGGAAAGCATCTGGTCTTTCGTATTCCATGGAGGTTCTCGAAGCATGGATATCATTAGGATTATGGAACTCCTTGTTAAACAGCAAGTGAACAGCAAATGATCTATACTCTCTTTGTCTTGCTCGGGCCACTGGTCATTTGAAACTTGTGAGCATGCTATTGTTTTGAAAGTTTCGAGTTCGCGATGACGTTCTCGTTTCTGGTGAACAAGCTCTCTTTTTCCAACCAGAAGCACTCGGGCTGGAGCTCAACATTTCTTTCCCCAGTACCTGCTATGACGTGTGAAGAAGCGCGCCGTACACGCGGAGTGTACAGAAAGCAGTGCGTACCCACATCGTCTTGATCTGAAATTCCGGTCTGCATCGAGGCAGGTGGAGAGTTCAAGCATTTGACAGGCAGGGCTATCCGTTGGAATCGTCATCTCGCAACGGAATTACATCCTGCTAAGAGGGCAAGTCCTCTTTGCCACGCGTTGAATGCGTTGGCAACACGTACCATCTGGTTTTAAGTGACGCAGGCAATCAGAAATATCAGAATTCCTCTCCATGTTGTTTGCTCGGTGTTGCAGGGCAAGGCACCATCTCTCTTGCAAACGGTCCCTGCGAGTTCCATGCAACAGACATCAGCGAACAGGTGGTCGTGCACCTTCTTGGACTCGGGGCTGTAGGCCGTGACGTAGACTAAAGATGCTCCTGGAAAAGCTCCCATGCAACTGGCCTGGCTTCTTAAAATCTTGGGCGGCCTTCTCCATGATATCTAGGATCGCACCATATTTCTGTGCGCGGATCTTCCTTCTGGCCAGAAGCTTTGAGAAATCTATCGTGCAGCTTTTAACTTTTGGTGCCGGCCTGTGTCGTCTTAGAGTTGCAAGCCTGGCCGAGACAGGATCACTGCTTGACGTAACGACTTCCGCTCTATCATAATTACAAGCTGCGATTCCAAAATGTCTTCCACCTTGAAGCGCTGCTTGGCCTCTGCCATTGCCTGGTGTACACATGTCTCAATTGTCTCACAACAAGAGAAGAACCTTCTACGATAGCAAAGTCTCCTCGCCATCAACGCTCTAGGTCCTAGGCCCTAGGCAAAGGGACCAACAAATAATTGAGGCTTGCGAACTTTGTAGGTTGCTGTAGGTATGCTGTACCACTGGCAAAGTGCCAGGAGCCCTGTTCAGGACTGCATGGTCCGTGCTCCTGAAGGAAGATCAGGCAAAACGCAAAGCATGGCCTTTTGCGTCTTTTCAATTTGGGACTGGGCGTCCTGCAGACCATGCAGCCAGCGTGAAGCAAGAGTCGTGACTTACCCTGACCTCCAGATTTAGCATTGCCGGCAGAGGACTTCCATCCTGAGAACCAGCTGTGGTCAGCATGGCTGGTTGCCGTTCATGTTGCCACATGTTGTTTTAAATCTCTGCCGTTAACCCATCGATTCGAATGGAGCCCTAACTGGGCTTCGGCCTGCAAGACCCTTTCGAAAACAGCGACAGGATGCGTAAGGAGAAGGGAAGGCCATGACCATCCATGACCTAATGATCAGGCACCAGCCCTGGGTTCATGGATTCATGCACAGCGCGGCCTTGGAGTAGTACAGACCTTCAAGAAAGCCTTAGCAAGATGCTTGGTTCCACTTCCATAAGTAATTTCGTATCTGGGTTTGGGGCCTGGGGTTGTTATATATTGGGATAATGGAAAAGAAAATTGAAACAACTATTTAGGGCTTAGGGTCTAGTGGCTTGAGGGTTGTAGGGTTTGGGGGGCTCGGGGTTTGGGTTATCTTGCTCTCAGCCCCGCATGAACTGCAGATGTGTGGGCAGAAGCAGCATCGCTTTATGAGCCCAGCCAACAAATCGATACTGCTCGTGCTGCCGATAAAAAGATCGCCAATCTGAGCAGGTGCAGAAGCTGCAAGGAGAACATTCAAACGCGTCAAGAGCTGGTCAATCTCTCAGCTCCTTGCGCATGACATCAGCAATTTGCTCTGCCGAGAAGCCATGCAGGCCTGGCCCAAGGAGCAACATTTGGCCTCAAGCCCAGGGGCTTGGATTCTTTGGCTGCTTAAGGCGCAGGCTTGGAGTTGCATCTTCTGCAAACTGGCCGGTGCTCATGGCTCTGCTGGCATCCTGTGCATCTGAACTTGATTTATCAAGCATAACTTTCTAACAGCGTGAAGCAGGGCTCCACGTACCTTCATGTCAACACCAAACTCCTACTGCATCGTCTTCCAAATTTTCATGCTGAGAGGTTATGCCTTCAAGCGGTTCGCGCCACGTTGCTTGGCTTTCTGCCGCCAAGTCTTTTTGTTGCACGCGATGTTCACGCCTCAGCAACCTAGTCTTTCTTTCAAGAGATGCCGGGTTCCCCCCTACTCTGCCCAGGAACAGCCTGTGATGACTCATGCGTCATTCTTTCTTCGTGTGCCCTTCTCCCCTGCTTGTCCTTTCTGACTTACTCCTCTCTGCTACCCTCTCATACCGCCTCCCTTTCTCGCTGTGTTCTTCCGTCCTTCTGTCCGTCTGTCTGTCCTTTGCTTCCGCTTCAGCAGCGTGCCACACCACAAAGCTAGCGATGCTACGGAAGTTCCACTGTGTCTTGCGGGGCTTCATTTAAATCAAGCTCTCCTGCTTGGTCAGGGTGTTCAAACAAGCAGTCATGACTGAATCATAACTTGAGCATGCTGGTGCCATATGTGCCAGTTTGCAAGCCATTTCATAGCACGGAGGCATGCTGAACATCCATTCTTCAGCTGGTAGTCCTTCCCAGCCATCAATGCATATCCCTCTCCAGGCGCGTAAAACCTTGTGAGTGGACATGATCTTCTGCACAGCTTCGCATTGAGTTGGGCGGCCTTTCGCCGGGACCCACATCGTAGACCTCCCCAAGAATAGCAATGAGCAGCGGCCTGCAGTGATTCCAAAAGCTTCAAAGCAAGTACATGTCGGTCCAAATGAATGTACGAAGAAGACCATGAAGAAGCCAGTTCTTCTCATGTCTTCCATGTCTGGGAAGTAGCCTGCTCCGGTTTTGACCATCGTGCAGGGCAAGCTCAGACTCTTTCCATACGCGGGCCTTAGGTGAAGAAGCATCTGCCCTCCATTGCAGAAGGCTTCCATGCTTGTACATCTTGCACCTGTCTGCCTGGTCTGCTGCTGGGAGCCTGGCGCCTGGAGCTCGCCTCTCAGCTTCAAGGCGCGGAAATGCGCCTCTCATCATACAGTCCCCAAACTCTTCTCCACTATCTGCAGCTTACCAAATTCACCTGTTACAGCTCCTTTTCCTTTGCGAGCCTTTGGAGCGTCCTCGGAAGCGTTGCACTGGATTCTTACTGACCAGAATGCGCTGAACGATAGCTGGAGTCACTGCCTGAACTTCCGCGTTGGGGTCTGTAGACCTGCGGCAGCTGAACAACAAATGGCTTCTTATGACACTTGCTGATGCCGCCAGCTACCATCCCATCTATTCTCAAAACAGAAGCTCAGTTGTACCTGGTATAGTGACGTGTCCCGCCTGTTTGCTGCGAAGACCTGTGGGTATAAAGTTGAAATGAAGCTCGTCTGTCGCAAGAGCGTCAAGGCACACCGGGGCAGGATGACCAGGCTAATTTGATGATTGCCTCAGCCCATTTTACGTGATCTGCGGCCCTGTTTAGCTGCGATCGATTCGGTCGGGGCCTGGGCGCCGGCTATGAAGAGCCGGTGGTCAATTTTCATCTGTGTGTCGTGCAAATGAACCTCCTACTCCCGACCCAAGCACTACAAAGCCAAGTGTATTCCTCCCACCGTCAGGCTGAAAGCCGGAGATGAGGCCCAGGGCGAGGGGCCCGGCTCAAGGGGAAGTCGGTGGAGAGGGGGGATGGGACGATGGGACCGTCGTTGATGCTGGTATTGCACAGCAAATTCAACATTAGAGGAGCGCCTAAAAGAAAACAGACGGGTAGAGACGAGCATTTCTGCAGAAACAATGAATAGGGGACCAGGAGGAGGGCTAGCAAGCTGCATGTGGGAACCCTTAAACACCAGTGCAAAAGCAACTCGAACATCAGCAGACTTAGTAGACGGGAAGGTTTTTTGTGCTATTCGCGGCACATGTGATAGACTCTGTGCGATGATTGGTTAGCAGCAGCAGTGTGACTGCCTTGGACAATTGCATGCCGAGAGCTCCTCAGCTCCTTAGACAAGGTTTTCCTTGACAGGTCTGAATAGCTTGGCGTTTAGTCGATGTGATCAGGCATCCAACCCTCCAAGGGAGGCGCCTAATCAACCTCTGACGCCTTTAAATTGTTGACGCCGCGCGCCGACTGCCTCAGCCCGGTCTGGGTCGCAAAGCGGATCTCTGAATTGGCCGAGGACCAAAACACATGTAGAAAGGGTCCACAGCGTGTGGGAATAAGCAGAATGAGACTAGAATGAGCATGAGCAAGCAAGGGCAGGGGGCTGAGGGGCATTAGGGGAGAACGCAAGGGGAAATGTCACAGGGAGCCGTCGCAGACAAGGGCAATAGTCGAGGGACGTTACAGGATTGGTAATAACATGAAAAGGTATAGTTCAAGGGGGCATACAGTAAGCGTCAAGGCGGGTAAGTACGAACGGGTCATCATGGGACCGCATTGGCCGCGGTATTTGGAGCGCTGAAAGAAGAATCCGAGGGTAGACAACACGGATTAGAGAAAAGTCTGGGTGCCTAAAGTCTACTTCAAAAGAAGCTGTCCTTACGGAAGGTACAAGATGAGCTAGTGTTTTCCTAGATTAAAAAGAAAGAGCAAAGAACACAGTTTGTCTGCTTGTTTTGACATTTGTTCAGCCCTCAACAAAGTGGCTGCTGCAGAGTCGGCGACAACCCGTTTGAGTACGCATGTCGGTCCCGAGATGTTTGAAATTGACATACTTGAACCATCTTGAACATCTAGTTCGGCATGGTGAGGTTCACCTGGCAGCACGTTTGGCAGCTTGAGCTTGGCCACATCACAGCTGTTCGAAATGTGCCTTTCGTTTGGGTTAAAGAAGCACCGGAAAATGTTGCAAATGATAGCACATAAATGTCCATGCTCTCTGATGCACAGATCGCTTTGCAAAGAGGCGTTTCCTAGTTATGCCTGAGGATTGCGAAGCTACATAATCAGCAACTGTGGTTCTGCACGCCACTCCGAGCGGTGCAGCTGATGGTCACAAAACTTGCGCGGGCTGAAGGACAGACATCTACACCGTACCGCCGTACAGTGAAAAGCAGCAATTCCATCAAAGCACGACAAGTTGAATGCAAACGGGCTCTTGTTGCCAGTATGACAACCGGCCTAAGGACAGGAATAACCCAGCAGATCACGACCTCGAAGACAACGCAGCCAAATAGGCCAAATCCTTCCACCGTGGCTTGTCAATAAGTGCTCGGCTGCAACGGCAGCTGCAAGAACTGCTCCCCACCAGGCCATGAGTTGCATGCAGGGTTTGCAGGCTGAACAGAATCATGAGATATCATGAGTCTACATGAGTCTACTGTTCGGGCAACGATGCTGTTGTACAAGCTTCAACAGCTGCAGCATGCGGCAGCTGTTCAACAAGCCAGTGAAAATCAAGGCTAGTCGCTGATCAGCATCGTACAGGTAAGGGCCTTGGCATTTGTGGGCTGACCTTGAGTTTTCCGGCATGTTTGCTCAAGTGCAACGCTTTCAGAAGCCATCGCTGCGACCAGAAGTGGGCACTTGCGATACTTACGTAGTTAGCTACATAAGAACCATGCAAGGATCAATGAATACACGTCAATCTCTAGATCGATTACTTACCCAGAGAATCCCAGAGACATCATCAGACTTGCAGTACCGTCGATGGTGGTCTCAACAAAGCACGGCCTTTCACATGCCGCGTGAATCATATGCTACACTTGCTCCAACTTTGGCCTGTGCATTAGGCTTCAAGGCAATCTTGCACACTGCCGTGCTTTGGCGCAAATGTGAGCAGTTGTCTGCGCGAAGTATAATGTGCGCTGGCGTAGGCTGCAAGGTGCAATGCATAGCTGGATTGACCTTAGCCTAAAACGTTTGTGGCGCAAGCGCGGCAGCAAAGGACTGGTGAGGCTCTAACCTGGCTCCCTAAGACATCTCAAGAGCTGGTCAGGGCTTCCAAGACCTCAGTCTGGTGGTGAGCATCTTCCAGGAGAGTATGCCAGCTGGGAGCTGCGCAGGAGCTATCAATCATCTCCTGACTTTCGTCTGGCCCGTGTTGCTTGCTCAGGCTCAACTTTGAATGTGTGGCATTCGTCCTCCGTCTTGAGCGCGACCGGGACGATCGCGAACGAGAGGAGCGACGCGATCTCGAACGTCTTCGCCTCACTACAAACATCCGGATGCTTGCCGTCCACCCGCCTCTTGCAGGCTGCTGGCCTTCTGGATCGTGATGGATCTCGCCGCGACCTGAGACTTGAAATCATGAGTGCAAGCAAAGACCTCTGAATTGCATAGCATGAATGAAACTGTCCTGCATGTCTAGATTCATCACATCTTGTATTGAAAGACATCTTGACTACCGCACGCATACTGTGCATTCCTGCGCTTCCTAGTCATCATGAGATGCAGCCCCCGGAAGTTAAGGAACACGGATGCAGGAGCGCACGACTTGAAGAAGTAATGCGTCTCTCATTTCTCCCAACAATTTAGCATTTGAAAGCAGAAGCATTGCTTGAGCCGTGTGCCCACGGCGCAACGCAGCTGCTGGATCCAGGGCGCCTGAACGGCAAATCTGTTGGCTGCGGGCCTTGTTCTGTGAACATCTGTCAACTACGTGAGAATCAGCTGCTGGTCATCTTGCGGATTGCGACCTGCACATGGTGCAGCCTGTCCACCAGAAGTCGGGAGCCTGCAGTCCAATGTAGGGAACATGTGGCGGAAATTGGTGAAACATAGTGGCTCATTCTGTTGGCCTGCTGTCAGGATGCATAAACGCGGGGTCCTGCAAAGGCATGCTGCGTCAAGAAAATTGCCAGACCCCTAAGCTACTGCAGGGGTGCAGGTGCCGCGAAGATGCAATGTACATCAATGTACACTTAGCACTGTGAAGAAGGGTATGCAACCTCTGTACAGTCCTACATTATTGATTTCAGACATCGAGGCCTTTGCAGCATCGCAGCTAGACACAAGCATACACAAGCCAAGTCGTTGCATGCTGAACTTCCCAGATAAGGGTGGAAATATCATCAAGATCCTGGGCTCTGAGATATTGTCAGCACCCAGCAAAAAAAAGCAGGGAACCTGCGTCGGCGCATGTTGTACAGGCCCTGGATGGGTACCTGTCAGAATTTGGACGTGCTCAGCCAGAGGCTCTCGGACAAGAGGCAAATCCAACAGCGCGAACCGTACGCGCCAGGCCTTTGTGAATGCAAGCCATTGGGAATTGACAATTTGAGCGAGGCAGATCGCTTAGACCCCGGCGCTGCAGGCGGTGGCTGCTCGGGTGGATACGCGGGATATGCTGGCTGGCTGGGGTAGGCTGGGTAGCCGGGGTAGGTCGGGCTAGGGTAGCTGGGATAGGTGGGGTAGGTGGAGGGGACTTGGTGATGGTATGTCGGCACTGGTGGATAGCCAGAGGGAGGCGGTGGATAGTGGGGATGGCTCTGTGGAGCTGGCGCAGTGGCTGGAGCCTGCGCTGGAGAAAGGTTCGGCTGTGCATAGCCTGGGTAGCTTTGATAACCCGCTTGTGGCGGAGGATAATGAGGCGGCGGCGCTGCATGTGCAGGCGGAAACCCTGGGTGGGATGCCGGAGGTGCTTGAGGAGGAGGAGCATGCTGCGGTGGTGGATATTGTTGTTGTGGGCCAGTTGCTGTGGCTGCGGGTGGCCTCGGCAACACACACACACACACACACGCACACACACACACACACACTTGCAAGCACCCTGAAAGGTGTAGTAGGTCATCACACA